ATATCATTAAAGGGCAAATAGGAGTTGTCCCTAAGTTGGATGTCCATTAACCTAGGGATTTGCCTGGAAGTATACACATACATACGTATCTATACACTTATCTCCATTCCAAAGCACTTAGGGAATAGGCTTGGGGGTGGGGGAAAGTTGTCATATACTGTATGCTGAGCTATTTTCACATCATTATTCAAAGTTGAAAGACAACTTAGTCTTGAAATGAAATGTAAGAAAATTTTACATAAACAGTACACATATATCATATGTGCATGTCTGTCAAAAGAGACAGAGGATAATCAATGCATAACTCAAAGTATTTGAAAATTTTGCAGAAAATGTCAGCAGACTAATAGATAGGGCCTCTCAGTCTCCAGGTGTACCTCATAAGGTCCTAAAATATGGAGGGCAACCTTTGTGCCATCACAGCCACTGCTTTCTCTGATTTGAATGTATGTCCATGGCGGAGAAGGATGCCTACAGCTGAGGAAAGCAACAAGTAAATTTGTAGAGGAAGACCATTAAGACCAGCAGCACTCAGTTTTACTTACATATTTACAAATATAACAGTCTCCCTAGTCTTAAAATTAGGGTTTCTATATCACACTATTTTAATTGCAGCTCTAATCAAAGCAAAAAATGTTGCTTGAATGAATACAGTTATTCCCTGCCTTTTCACTTCCTCGGTTTATTCATTCATTCATTCAGCTAGTGTATGCAGCCACTGGGGATGCTGCAGGGAACAAGACAGACACGGTCCCTGCTCCCATGAAGCTTAACTCTCACTGGAATTAAGAACAGGACTAATATCAACCTCAAATAGGTCAACTTCTATTAAAGAATCTTTTGTTTATGTAGTTATGTTTGAGGAATGTAATTTGACTCGACATCGTATATAATTCCAAATGCGAATAAAGTTCTGTGGTAATTAGTTTGGAGACTATATAGACTCATGCCTCACTAATTTGTTGTGGATGTTTTCCAGCTTTTTTAGCTTTTAAACTGATATGTGGAGCCAGCTGTTTAGTGTAATATATAAAAATTATATACCTATTAGAACTGTTTTTTTCTTCTAAACTTTATTTTGCTGCTGCTGTTGAGCCATATACATAGCAAAACATAATGCCAATTCAACAGTTTCTACAAGTACAGTTAGGGGCATTGATTATATTCTTTGAGTTGGCAACTATTCTCACTCTCCTTTTCTGAGTTATTCTTCCTTCATTAGCATCAAGTCACTGCCCCTAAAGTTCCTGTCTAATCTTTCAAGTTGCTGTTGTCAGTTTGATCCCAGAGAGGTAGTTCTTAACAGAACATAGTGCTCGAAGCAGATTTGAAAAAACAAAACAAAACTATTTCATCTAAACTATTTTTGAGTTTTAAGAAGACTTTTTAAGGGATAAAGATTATCTTAGGGCAATAGTTTCAAGGTTCATCCATCCTCCATGGCTATTGTAACTTTTGATAATTATTTTTCAGAACCAACAAGCTAAAATAGCACAATTGTACCTCCCATTTGTTGGACTGCTTTTGGAAAATATACAGCGATTAGCAGGTCGGGATACCTTGTATTCTTGTGCAGCCATGCCTAGTTCTGTAAGTAGTGATGTGCTTCTATTGGAATCTTGATAGTTTGTCCTGTTTTATGGCATGTACTTGGAATTGGGGTCATATGCTATCTGCTCTCAACCTTAATAGTACAGTATTGCATGCCATTTTAGCAGGTGGGCTCTTTCCCCTAGAGCAGTACTTCTCAAACATTAACATGCACGTGAATCACCTGAGGAATTTGCTCAGATGCAGATTCTAATTCAGTCAGCCATGGGCAGGGCTTGAGGTTCTGCATTTCTGACACGCTTTTGCTTGCTTCTGGTCCTAGGACAACACTTTGAGTGGCAAGGAACTAGGGAAACATTAAGAATCTCTTGTACCTAATGTTTGTTAAGATTTGCTTTTGTTATGTGCCTTCATATATTTTTCCAACCTGAAAACCAAACAAAAATTTCTTAACTTTCAAATGTTAGGCACCAGGGACTAAGCACTATTCCTTTACTTCTCCCTTCCCCTGATAGTCTCATTTCTGGGGTCCCATTGTTGTTGTTGTTGTTGTTGTTATGTGCCGTCGAGTC